AAAAGTATCTCACAATCCGCACCCCCACAGGGAGGGCTCCCCACTAACTCTGCCTCTTAGGCTCTCTCTCTATTCTCTGTGGCCTGGCTTCCACATGCCTCACATCCCATGGGCTCCTCTGTCCTCCTCTCAGCTGGATCTCATGCCTGCTGTGGTTTGAATGTGAAATTGCTCCCCCAGTGTTGTGGGTCAGAACCCTAGCTCTCCAGCTGGTGGGTGTGTTTTGGAGGCTGTGTGTTCATTAACAGGTAGGTCCCGGCTGGAAGGAGTGGGCCAGGATCAGTAGGGCTATACTTGGAGGTTTTTTGTTCTAGCCTCACTTCTTGTTCACTTCCTGCTTCATGACTGAGGCTATGGTGGGCTCAGATGACCTTCCTCACCATGATAAACTTCCCCTTGCATGGTAAGCTGAAATGAATTCTATTCTCGAGAGTTGTTTCTTTTCAGGTATGTGGTCATAGCAGAAGGAAAAGTACTGAGTATAATTCCTGGCCTCAGCAGTTTCCGAGCCTCTGGCCACACACCTTAACCCTCCTAATGCAGAGACTCTTTAATGTAGTTCCTCATGCTGTGGTGACCCCCAATCATAAAATTATTTCATTGCTACTTCATAACTGTAATTTTGCTACTGTTATGAATTGTAATATAAATATCTGGTATGAAGGATATTTGATATGTGACCTCCAAAGGGTTTACAACCTATGGGTTGAGAACTATTGCCCTAAAGTATTGATGACATTGGAAGCAGATATAGCCTGATTGTTGAGCTGGAACTGTCAATCAGACCTCCCAAACATGGCCTTTTCAGGACAAGGGTCTCTGGGAAGTCCTACTTATTCTTGGTGATGAGTTTTCCTCAGAGCAAGTCACATTTCATGGGAGGAAGCAATTCAAACCTGTTTAGATTCAAAGTGGGAAGGAATATGGGCAATCATGCTTGGGAGAATTCCAAAGAATTCACTGTCCAGTTATTCAGTCAGTTGGTCTTCTGGACATTCTGAGAAAGCTGCTTACAATCTTCCACATTCAGAATACACTCAGCTTCTTCAAAGATCCCCCCTTTGAAGTCTCAGCTAGTGTGGTGTCACGTGCAGGTACCAGATGTGGGCTCTTGGTGCAGATCCACAGGCTTACACAGCCCTTCCTGTTCAGTCCTGAAGAATGTCAGTCAGTCTACGAGAGGATGTGCAAGTTACTGACACAGATTTGGCTTCACTCACACATACAAAGGTGCCACTGGGGAAGGATGGCGGTCATGTGCCTCCTCCTCCGAGTAGAGCTGTAAATAAGATTGATCCCTTCAGCAAGGGGCTTACATCAGCCGGTAAGTGGGAGTCACAGAAGAGGCACGACTAGACCCTTAAGAGTTTCAGTCTTGATCCTGCTGAGAGTCAGAAAGGATTTTATTCTGACCTCATTTTCTGCACAGGATAGAAAAAAACAAAAACAAAAAACCCCAAGCCCCATAAATCATTTTGACAACTCTTTGGCTAAAATGGTCTATAAGAAATGCCAGAATCATGCCTTTCGTGTACAAACAGACACTAATCGCCAGGTAAAGTGGTAAAGTCACTTAACAAGCAGAAATTGTCATATAAATCATAAAGTTCTGTGAGTGGAGAAACTTATTTTGAATAAGTTTCACCACTAGAGGTCAGTAGTGTACCATCCCCAACATGGAGATCATGCCAAACACACATGCTTCTCTCAACCCAGAAAAGTGGAGACCCCAGGGAGGAATACAGACAGAGTTTACGGACCACATCTAGGTGCTGGTGCTGGGCAGTGCAGCTCCATTTGTGGACAGAACACAGTTGCTATCCTCAAGGAAAATAAGAAATCAGATGCAGGGATTTCTGTTCAGCTCTAGTTGGTACTCCATACAGGACAAAATGCTTCCCTTCTGTTTATCTCCACTTCCCTGCAGACATAAAAGGCAAAACGGGAGTTCTGTTTCTGTAGTCTGAAGCGGCACAGTGACAGTCAACGTGCTTTGTTTAAGACAGGCTGGTCGTGAATCTGTAGCTCTCCTGCCTCTGCCTCCCAAGTGCTGGGATTATGGCGTGTGTGTGTGTGTGTGTGTGTGTGTGTGTGTGTGTGTGTGCCTGCGGCTGGGGCTGTCATTTCTCTAATACAACACTAGAGGACATGATAGGCCTTTTACACCAAATCTAAAAGAGAACCACAAATATATTTGCATGAAATGTTAAAATGCTGATTGGACTGTGGTCTATGAAGGCTGTTAGCAAATATCTAGTAACATTTATTTTGGCACAAAACTCTTGAGATGGAAAAGACATTGTACCAATGAACACCAGGGGTGTTAAGATCCAAGCAGATGTCCTACGTCTGTGGATGAAGGAGACGTGTGTTACATTCCTTCCCACTGAGAGATGCTTGTTTGTGATCTACTCACGCTGAAACAAGGGAAAACCAGGTTTCTTTCTTGTTGGGAACGAATCTAAGAGATACTGGGTTCTGTGTTTAACTTCAGGAATTAAACCCCCCCTCCCCCCCCAGCTTAAGGTCTCTTAAGACTTAAACTAGTTGCCACTGGATTTTAGACCAGCCTTGGCCCCCTAGTGGCAAGGTTTTTCAGAACTTTCTGCCTTTGCCAGGATGAGCAGAGGGGTCTGGTCCTGTTTCCCTGAGGTTAGAAATGATCAGTTTAGCTAATTGTTTAAAACAAATCACATGTAAGTTTTTATTTACACCCCCTTGTGTGTGTGTGTGTGTTTCCATGTCGTTACACATATACCTATGTAAGTGTGCTTGTAGCGGCCACAGGTCAACCTTGGGAAGCATTCTTTAGGATGCCTACCCTACCTTGTGTTTTTGAGACAGAGTCTCTCCCTGGTCTGGGACTCACCAGTTCAGCAAACCCTGGATCTCTGTTAATCTTCTCCTCCCCGACAAGGGAATTGAAAGTGCTCACCACCACACACGGGTTGGTCTCCACAGGTTATAGGAATTGAACTCAGGTCCTCATGGTAAATTACCCCACTGCACTCGCACCCAGCCTGGAAGTGTGGAGAAGTTAGGTTAAATGGTGTAAAAGAAAGGTCAGGAGTAAGCTACAAAATGACACCTAATTCATGCCACAGGCATTCCTAAAGTGCCATCATTTCTGCTGATGTGTTCCCAGCCTCTGGCTAGTGGACTTTTCCTCCTTTTTAAACTTGAAGGAACTCTCCCAGGCCAAGACATTTGGAGATATTTCCCTAGAAATATATAATGGAGGGGTGGGGACAGGAATTTGCCACGGAACTGAAGACAACTTAGGTAGAAGGTTCCTGAGAGAGGTGCTGTCATGGACCCTGGGGGTTCCTGTAGTTTTTGTGGACATACCAAAAGTGTGAACCCCTTTCTCGGACTTTGATGGATAGTGTTTCCAGAGCACTGTTCAGTGCCTGGGTAATACCAGCCCTGGTCCAAGAAAAGCTTGCTTCACTATCTGTGGAAGCACTCGATTTCTAAGATCAAGTTCTGCCCCTGTATCATAGCGTGCTGCATATGGAGGCCCACTGCAGTCTCCACACACCCAGAGACAGGGAACGGGGAATCCAAAGTGAATTCAGGCAAGGGGTGTCAGGGGTACAGGTTCAAGTCTCTGACCCAGGCCTCTCAGCAGCTGTAAAACAAGATGCTTATCAGCTTGCAAGTGTTTTAAGATCCCAGATCTTGACAGAAGCTGAGGGAACTCCAAAAACTGACCTCTTTTATCTTAGAGGGTTACCGAGAGTTTATCTCACCTCATAGATAACTATGAGAATTAGGACAATTTGAAGAAAACCTTTTTAGCAACCCAGCATTTTAGAGCTTTGCTTGCCTAGTGGGACCATTCTGTTATAAAACTGTACCCCTGGCTTCTCTGTGCTCTTCAAAGCATTGCTTCATACATATTGCTGGCACATGAGTGCACATGCAGAGAGAGCACTCAGATACAGAAAATAAATAAAATCTTTTAAAAAAAGTTAAAAAAAGATTTTCCAGTAGAATCCTGATAAAGATTTCTCTATCTTCTAAAACATCGATAATCTAAGCTTTCATTTTAGACTATGTCCATTTGAATTAGCATTTTTGTGTATGCCGTGAGGTAAGAGTTCAGGCTTACCTCCCAGTATTGCTATCTAGCTGTTGAAGCATTCCTGTGGAAGACAAGCCTCTCTCCACAGGACTCCCGATACCACTGTGAGGATCAGTGAGCTGTATGGATCGATGTGTGGACTTCTTCCTGGCCCTATTCTGTTTAGTTTCTGTGTGGCCATCTTTATACCAACACCGTTATTGATTTCACTGGTTTAGGTTAAAAATAAGTGTTGAGATAACGTAGGGTATGCCCTCTCTTCCTTCACAAAACTATCTTGTCTACACTGTTGTTTTTTTTTTTTTTTCCTAGCTTATGGACTTGTAGAGTTTACAGCTTTAGATTGTAAGTTTCCTTGAATGCCATGGGCAGGAATCCCAGGGATTCAGGCTGTCTCCCCGCAGGATTTCCTGATCATCTGTTAAAGGCCTTTTGTGTCCATGCTGCTTTCTATCTTCCATATTAACCCTTAGCTCAGTGGTTCTCAGCCTTCCTACTGCTCTGATCTTTTAATACGGTTCCTCATGTTGTGGCGACCCCAACCATAAAATTATTTTTGTTGCCACTTCATAACTGTACTTTTGCTATTGTTATGAATTGTAATGTAAATCTCTGTTTTTTCCATGGTCTTAGGTGATCCCTGTGGAATGGGTTGTGACCCACAGGTTGAGAACCACTGTCTTAGCAGAAGGCTGGCTTTTTAAATTGAGTTGGAGAATGGTCTCTCCTGTTGTGTTTCCTGAAAGACTGTGCAGAATTGAATTTTGTTAAAACATTTGGAAAATTTTACCACAGATCCTTCTGGATCTACAATAGTCTTTGTGGAAACAGCTCACTGACAGTTTTAATTAGAGATGTGGGCTCTGGGTGTCATCTGTTCTTGTGAGCTTTGGTGCTGTTTTTCTTTTCAAAGAATTGTCAGTTTCCTCCAAGTTCCACACCCTGCTCCAAGGCTGCTGTAGTATCCTTATAGCCTTTGACATCTACAGGATGGAGAGTGAGGCCCTGGTTTTAATCACTGATGTTGGTAATTTGTAAAGTCCCCACTTCTCTTTCCGGATGAATCTTCCTTGATTGTAAATTTTACCATTTCTTAAAAAAAAAAACAACACTTTTGTTACTCGGTGGTAAAACACGTACTTGGCTTGTATGGGACTTCAATGCAGCATGAGAACACACACACACACACCACACCACAAACCACACACACACCACACACACACACCACACACACCACACACACACACCACACACACCACACACACACACACCCAACACACACCACACACACACACACACACCACACACACCACACACACACACATACACGCCACACACACACATCACACACACACACATACACACACACACCACACACACCACACACACACACACCACACACACACACCACAAACCACACACACACACACCCCACACTCACCACACACACACCACACACACCACACACACACACCACACACACACCCCACACACCACACACACCCCACACACCACACACACACACACCACACACACACCACACACATACCACACACACACACACCACACACACACACACACACCCTAAACACACCACACACACCACACACACCACACACACACCACACACCACACACACACACACACAGACACACCACAGACACAGACACACAGACACACACACCACACACACCACACACACACAAAACACACACAGAGACACACACACCCCATGTTTTGTGGTTTGAGTGGGAATGGCCCCTGTAGGCTCATATATTAGAATTCTTGGTTCCTAGTTGGTGGGACTCTTTGGAAAGGATAAGGAGGCGCAGCCTCATTGGAGGAGCTGCATCACTAGGGGTGGGCTTTGAAATTTTAAAAGCCTCTTGCCATCCCCACTGCACTTGATGCTTCCCTTTGAGGAGGGGGATGTAAGTGCCCATCTGCTGCTCCAGTGGCATGCCTGCTGCCTGCTGTCTGTCTGTCTGCCTGCCTGCCTGCCTGCCTGCCTGCCTGCCTGCTGCCATGCCTTCCACCATGATGGTGATGAACTTCCCTCCCTCTGGAATTGTAAGCTCCAAATAAACCTGTCCTTCTAGCATTTGCCTTGGTCATGGTGTTCGGTCACATCAGTAGAAAGGTAACTAACTCTGTTTCATTTTTCCCATAATTGTATGGTTTTCTCATCTGATAGGAGGCTGGTGGGAAATACTGAAACAGGCTGTATACAACCCCGACTGGTCTGGAGCACACAGGCCTTCTGCCTCCATATACTGGATGCTGCAACCTTAGGTGTATGCCAAAAAACCTGGAACAAAAGTTTTTGACTTTAGATTGTTTTCTTCTTTCTGCTTGTGGAAAAACAACAACAACAACAACAACAACAACAACAAAACCAAAAGACCTTGTTCTTCTTTTTCTAATTTCTTAAAGGAAATACTTAGATTTATAATTTGAAAGCTTCCTTGATTTTCCAAATAAGTCTGTAATAGTAAAAAAAATGTTTCTAAGCATTCCTTCAGCTGTATCCACAAATTTTGATGTTTACATTTAAACTTAATTGTGTTGGTAGGCTCACATTAATTAAAATGTTTTTAATATGTTCATATTTAAACTTAATTAAATATTTTCTCATGATTGCCCCCATGACTCACAGTTTGTGTGAAATACGTATTTTAATTTCCAATTATTCAGGAATTTCAAAATATTTTTTCTTACTGATTTCGAATTTAATTTCTAGGTGGGTAGAGAAAATAATTTGCATGATTCCAACTATGCAAGCTATTCTAAATTTACTGATGCTTCTTTTCAGGCAAGAGATCAGTTCGGGGGCTGGAGAGATGATCAAGAGCTGTTCCTTTTGCAGAGAACACAAGTTTGAGTCACAGCACCAATGCTGGGTAGCTCACAAAAGCCTGTAACTCCAGCTCCAAGGTTCAGATAACATCCTGTCTGGGCTCAGGGAATAGATCACTCATGTGCACACTGGCGCAAACACAGATACATGTAATTAAAAAATAAAATGAAGGGGCTGGAGAGATGGTTCTACAGTTAAGAGCATTGGCAGCTTTTCCAGAGGACCCAGGTTCAATTTCCAGCACCCACATAGCAGCTCACAACTGTCTGTAACTCTAGTTCTAGGAGATCAAATATTCTTTTCTGGCTTCCTCAGGTACTGGGTACCCAAGTGTTTCAGAGAAATACATGCAAGTAAAATACACATACAATAAAAAGTAAAATAATTTAAAAAAACCATTTCTGTGTGCATTTGAAAAGAAAGTGTGTTCTTCACTACCTTGGAAAATCCCATCGTTCTTTGAATGCTGTCCCTATTCATTCTGTCTGTTATTTTGTTGGCATTCCTCTTAGAGTTACCTAGGGTTTCCCTCTTTTCTTGTATTGTTTTCTCCTTTCTTCAAATCCTGAATTTTAGTCCCAGCCACATACATTCTGCTCAAACACCAAATGGAAGATACTTTATTTATAAAGGATTAAGGTCACGAGTTAGCAAGTTCTGTTAGGTGGGGGAAAAGACAGCTGGGAGCTGTAGAAATGGCTCAGCAGTTAACACCACTTATTGCTCTTGCACAGGAAGCTGAGTTGGGGTCTTAGCATGCTCATTAGGTGGTTCCCAACCACCTGTAACCCCAATTCCAGGGATCTGATTCCCTCTCTGGCATCTGCAGGTACCTTGCACATGCCCGCACACACCCCGCCACATAGTCATGCAATTAAAAAATAAAATCTTGGCTGGGCGGTGGTGGCGCACGCCTTTAATCCCAGCACTTGGGAGGCAGAGGCAGGTGGATTTCTGAGTTCGAGGCCAGCCTGGCCTACAGAGTGAGTTCCAGGACAGCCAGGGCTACACAGAGAAACCCTGTCTCGAAAAACCAAAAAAATAAAAAAAAAATAAAATAAAATCTTATATAAAAAGAAAAGCCAAGAAGAAAGTATTTGTAGGCTCGCCTCTATAGCTCAGAAGGTTTTGATAAAGTCAAAGCAAGAATGCTTTGAAGGTGGGGTCAGTGACTGCTAACAGCCAGATACGTTTGTTTGAAAGGTTAGGTTATAATGAAGCATCACGAAAACCACCTGGCAACCCAAAGTCTGGAATTGTAAATGTACACTTGAATAAGAAACACAATTTTAACTAAGCCTCAGGTTTTCTGCGAGCGAGATCAGGCAACTACTGATCTAAGGCATCATGAAGTGGTCAGGTGAACGGTAAGTGTAAAAATTCTCCAGAATATGGGGTACGAAGAGAAACATCCATTAATGGTATAGCTTTGTGCGTTTTCTAATTTTAGAAATGGGGGGTGGGAAGGAAAATGTGCTTTTAGAATTGAGGGCCAGCCGAAGGCACTATTCTGTTCACTCTGTTCTTAAATGTGTTCTTAAATATCTCTCGACCAGAGTCTGGTCACGTCAATTTCCGGAAATTCTCTCTCTCTCTCTGTCTCCCTGTCCCCCTCCCTCCCTCTCTCTTTTTTAACCTAGTGAGACTTCCAACCTCACTTTCCAAGCTCCTGGCGAAACAAAAGATCCTCAGCCAGGACCGCTTTCTTGGGCGCGTCTTCTCTTCTGCGCCGTGATTGGTCGCTGCTTTTTTTAAGGACCCGCCCAACAATCCTGATTGGGCGTCAGTGCCCTTTTGTTAGGGCAAAGGTGGACCCTAGTGCCTTGCCATAGGCCTCTCGCGGCGTCTAGAGGCCAGTGCGCAGGCGTGCAATCTCGCATTAGGATTGGTGGGGGTACGCCTCCTCGCTCGGCGCACGCTCCGTGGGCGGGAAGGGCGGAGCTGACGCTGTCAGTTGGTCCCAGAGCCGCGGCCTGAGGCGTCGTACCCATCCCACCTCTTCCCGGCGCCTCAGACGCTAGGTGAGGCCGCCTGGGGCGGCGAGGGCCGGGGTTGGAGGCCTTACGGGGCGGGGCGGATGGAACGGGGACTCAGACGGCGGCCTGGGCGCTCGATCGCCGGGCCGCGAGGCCCGACGCCCCGCCGAGCGCTGCGCAGCCGCCTTCCCGGCCGCACGCCGCGGGCTCAGTGGGAAGAGCCCGATGGTGCGGGACCGGGACGCCGTGGGGGTGCGATGGGACCGGGTGATGGGAGAAGAGGTTCTACAGCCCGAGCTATCTTCCAGCTCGCCGCAATCCTCCTGCTTCAGCCTCTCGAGTGCTAGGATTGGTTTGCAGGCGTGGTGGCCCATGCCTGCCTGGGGTGGGACATCTTTGCTAGAATCTGGGTTTGTTTCTTTGTCAGCTTTTCTCAAGCGTCCTGTGGAATAAATATTGAGGAGTAAGGTTTGGGAAGGAGAAATCATAGGTTCCCGAAAAACCAAGATTTCTGTTACACCATCGGATACTGACGTCGTAATAGCCATAAGGACAGAAGTCCCCAAACCGTTATCCATTTCTGAGACTCAAAGCTGTGCGTAGAAATCCTAGTGTATGCTCCAGTGATTAAACTGGATGCTGCTAGCTCCCAGGGAATCTAACTTAAGTTTGATCCTTATTGACCATGTAGTTCCTCGATTTCCATCGATTTTGAAACCCCCAAAATGTCAAAGCAGAACATGAAGGGATAGAAACATCACGCTGGAGTAGATGCAGCTTGAAGCAGATGAAATTTTGTATTTGTTTTGTTTGTGGAAACGCCAAAGGAGTCGAGTTTTTTTCAAACTCGGGTTAGGACCTTAATTATATCTTGGCTATGAAACATGAGGCAAGGCCTCTAGCCTTTATAAGGTTAGTATTCACATCTGTGGACTGTATCTTCCTTCTGTTTTGACAGAACTATATGCATAAAGTTTTTAGTGCATTACTGTAGTGCATTGGACTTTTAATTTTTAAAAATACTGTATTTCTGGTGAGTGGATGACAGGTGGAAAACATGAATTGCAGGTTCAGAGAAGTCTGGTGGTTGAGTTTGGAAGGATATTAGGGGAGTGTCAGACTCATACCTGAGAAGTTAAGGTGAGCTGAGGTGGAGTGATGGGAAAGCAGACGGACATTGACTGTATGCTTGACTCTACATGGTTACTGTGATGTGAATTAAGCCACTCTCAGATTAGACCCTGAGTTCTATGAGTCCTTCGGCCACATCGTTTTTCTAAAGTTTCTTCTGTGGTCTATACAGGAGAGTAGAGATGAGAAAATCTGTTAACATCTTTTGAGTACTTACTAAGGATACAAACACATATTTGCATGTATTAAATTCTCAGAACGACCCATGAGATTCATAGTTATTAGGTCCATTTGATGGATGAGGATACTGAGGCTAAGATTTTTAAACTTGATCAAATTTCAGAGCCTAAATAGAGAGTGAAGATTTTTAATCACTGTGCTAAGCATAGTCTCGAGAAGAAGTTTTAGAAGGGTATAGCGTGAACATGCAAGGGTAATTTTAATTAATCCTGGGCTAACACTTTCCATATCCCTGAAGTCTGTCTCTTTTACCTTTTCTGCATTCTGGATTTAAATTATAAAAGGTTCTCATCCACTAACAAACTAGATACACACAGGCCTTGAGATTTCCTGTGATTTTTCAAAGAAAAAGTCTTTTAAAGCACTGACACAAAGATCTCAGAGAATAGTGTTCCTTTCAGAGCCAGGGCAGCTGGTAAGTTACAAAGTAGTTGTGTAAGGTTGTGTGTGTTTGTGTGTGTACACGTGTGCTGCATTCAGTGAACCCACAGATTACAGGCGTGGCAGATGGCATATGTTTGAGAGATGGGGGTAAGACCTCTGGAGCTTGCTCACAAACACTGATTGAACCAGGGAATTCCAGGTTCAAGGTCTGCAAAATGAAACAAAACAAAGCAAAACAGTGGAAGAGGGATTGAGGGAGTCAGCCAAACTTGACCTCTGACCTCTACGTGTGCACAAAGACGTGCACATACACAAAACATGTACACAGACATACACATAAAACAAGTTTATGTCAATTTAAAAATTGAACATTGATTAAACGGAGAGGAAATACTACTTTCAAAAAATGGCCATGCAGTGTTTCATACTTTGGTTGACTACAATAATTCTTTTAAGTGTGATTTTCAAATACTATAGTAGGTTGAATAACTTTCAAAATAGAATTTTGAAAAAAACAACCCAGTAATTTACTTTCTTTGATGGGCAGAGACTCTGTAAGCGGCTGTGGAAAGCATGAGAAAGTAGGCGTTTATGCACTCAGGAGCGGGCTTAGCTTTGTAGTTGTTTGGTGGTGCTATGTAAGGATACTCAGTAGCTTTCAGACTGAGCTGCCTGAGAGTCCACTTTCATGTTTGTACTCTGGGTGTTCTGTCTTGGAAAGATTTTTGTGTGTGTGCCTTTGCTACTCTTTATAATTGTCCTTAGTAAAAAGATTTACATGTTGCTGAATCTTTCTTTAAAAGTATTATCCTGATTAACCAAGATTGCAGTTAAGATGTTTCCTATTTTGAGTATTTACATTTTCATCTCCCTTTGCCAGCACATGTCACGTGATATAATCAGTGTGCAGCGTTTAACTTCAGGTACTTGATTACTGAGTAGTCCAGCATCATCTTTCCTTCCGCTTCTCCCTGGAACTGTCCTGCAGGGACACTAAATACTGCAGAGCAGTAAAGCATGGACAGCAGGCGTTCCTCTGGGTCACATTAACTGTATTGTCTTCTGCAGAACAAGTGTGTGTTTTACTATTATATGTTTCTTTTTCTTTCTACAGACTATTCATTAAAGAGTTTGCGTTCAAGAGCTAAAAGTCTGTTACCCAAGATGATGAATGCTGACATGGACGGTGAGGTCCTCATCCTCTGGCCTTCGGGATGCTTTTGCTTCATTAAGCAATGGAAAGAGCAGAGAGACAGTCCTTAGAGCTTTAGGTCTTGACTAACTTCTTCCCCTTTCCTTTAGAAAGCATCCAGGGTGGCTTCCATTCTGTAACTGTGTGGCAAGTTCCTTTGTTATTTTTGCTTAATGCTGTGAAGTAGAGGCTCTGTATACCTCAGTTAAGGACTGTGTTAAGCCAGCAAAGAAAATGGTTATAAAATGTGTGCAGAATCTTAAGTGTTACATGCCACAACTAGCACAGTGGTTATTAATAGTAAATTTAACACTTTTTATTACAGCAGTTGATGCTGAAAATCAGGTGGAACTGGAAGAAAAGACTCGGCTTATTAATCAGGTGTTGGAACTCCAACACACACTTGAAGGTTAGATTGCATTTAGTAGCTTTCATGAATGACATCTAGTTAACTTCAAAGACCATGTTAGTAGTTTTTGTTGTTGTTGTTATTTTGTGGTTGATATATATGTATGTGCATATATATCTATATCTCCCTCATTATATCTATATCTCCCTCATTATATCTATATCTCCCTTATTATATCTATATCTCCCTCATTATATCTATATCTCCCTTATTTGTCTGTATGGTGGGTGTGTGCCAGGGTACCTTGTGGAAGTCAGAGGGTGACTCGTGGGAATCATTCCTTCTATTCCATGCATCTTGGAATTGAACTCAGGTCCTTAGGTATGGGTGGCGATGTCTTTACCCAGGGAGTCACGTTGCTGCTCCAGTTGTTGTTTTCCCTTCTTCCTGCTGTCTACAGTTTGGCTGTGGTTTACAGGACACATGTGCCTCCCTCAGACCAGTCACTGCTCTTCTCTTTAAGGCCTTCAGATGTGTTGACTTAGTGTGTGCACTCTTTAAATCCTGGCAATGTGTTACTCAGCTTGTTTCAAAAAAGCTCTATTAAAATGAAAAGAAGCACTACTTCTAGAGGTTAAAATTGATCTTAGGGTTTTTTCTTCATTTTTTAACTTCCTTCCATAAAATTAGTACTATCACCTACCTGGTTTTTGATGTTTAATGACATTAAGTATTGTTTTCTTTTGTTTGGGCACAAAGTGAGCAATAGCTTCTCCTTTGACACGCTCCACCTCAGGTTATCTGGGAACACCAGTGATGCAATTCTCTCTAAGTCGCTGTCATTGCTTTAAGTTCCTTCCTTAGTTCCATGGCTGGGTAGCTTGTTTCCTGAGTTCCTGCAGACTACTGGTCAAATTACCCTTAGCAAAAGAGTTAACTCTAAAAAAGCGCTTCTACTCTGCTTTTAGAACTCTTAGCCAGTTTTGCTTTTTCTCTAGAGAAGTTGACAAACGGTATATTGACGGTTAATGTTTACTCTTGATACCTGGGCCCCAGGTGCCCGTATACAGCCATGTTTGTTCTCTGCTGCATCTGGAATGGCGCCTGCTTCTGTTGATCTACATACGTTTGTTAAATATGTGAATGGATGTAATTTTTATTTGTCCATTAGGATCTGCATCTTTTGAAATTTTAACTCATATAAAGCTATAAAAGACCAGCTGCTTGGACCTTTTATCCAGCGTAGGAATCCACGTGTTACGCTGTGCATTGTAAGCATTTCCAGGAAAGACATCGTCCCCTTGTGCGGGAGGACGTGCATGCTTTAGAAATGCAGTGTTTTCTTAATCACCATAAGAGCCAACAGAAATGTTCTACAGACTCCTGAGTCCCATGGGAAACACCGTTAACAATCACCATCTTCTGATTTGTACTCAGGAAAAGTTTTTTTAACCTAAGCCTTTCCCCCCAGTAATCTGAATTAAAAAACAGAAAACTTACAAATTGTCATATTTATTTATTGTTAGTGCTAGGAATCAAATTCAGGGTCTCACACATGCTAGGCAAGGGCTATAGCATTGAGTCACACCCTTCAGCCTGGTCTTTGATTTCATAACATGGAGTCATTGCCATGATTTTATTGATAATTGTATTTCTATTTATTTTTTTAATATAGATCTTTCTGCAAGAGTAGATGCAGTTAAGGAAGAAAATCTGAAGCTAAAATCGGAAAATCAAGTTCTTGGACAGTATATAGAAAACCTCATGTCTGCTTCTAGTGTTTTTCAAACAACTGACACAAAAAGCAAAAGGAAGTAAAGGGTTCGCCTCCCTCTCTTCTATGGATTGCTGCTTTTTTCCTTCCCCCTTAAGGCTTGTTTGCTTCCCTGAGTATTTATAAAGAGAATGTCAGATCTAGGTAATACTAATGCTTAACAGGGGCGTCTCTGAGTTAACCTGATGTGTCTACGTTAGTCTATGAAAATGTGCACAGGTAGAGACTTTATATTAGAATTACAGATATTTATGAATCTTGAAGATGAATGTTTTGCCAATTTGCTTATATATATATATAGGTTTAGCACTGTCTTTTATCATAAGCCTAACTAGTAAAATATACAAGAAAATAACCATGTTGTGAAAAAGTGACCAAAACCATGTACTGAATGCACAGCTCCTGTACCTTGTGCACCGTCTTGTGCCTCTCCTCCATCTGCCTCTTCTTCCCATCTCCCTCCTGACAGTAACGTCAGTTCTCATCTCCCGCAAGAGTAACCTGAACTGTAATTGTTGACACTTAACCAAAATAAGATACTTTCTTAGCTAAGGCTTGCCATTTGTGTATTTAGTAATAAGATAGGATTACTGGTTTCTCTTTAATCAGTTGAAAATAGTTGAAGCTATAAAAAATAAAGGGTTTTCTTTGAAATGTAAACTGTCATACTGAGAAGCTAAAAACTCCCTATTGCATAAAATAGTCTGTTTGGTGTTGAAAAGATCGGAATGCTGGTTACATGTGTATGAGGAAAAAAGCTGAGGAAAGATAGAATTAGGAAGGAAAACTGGATAAACAGAAATACCCTCCCAGTGTTTCCCTCCAGATGTGCGTTACCTCTGGCCCACAGCTGCACTTTTGGGACATGAATGAAAGTGGACTGAGTCTAATGTAAGTGGATTAAGAGAGACCAGTTAAGAGTTTGGTCTCAAGGTTTGTTTGTACCCAGGAGATGAACTTTTACAAAATTAATTGAGAGTATATTAGTATCAGAATCATGAATATAAGAGAGTTTTGTATATGTGATAATTATTAACCTTAGTATCTTATCTCAGTTGTTTTCCTAGAATTTCTGTAAACTCAACTTAGTTTGCAGAATTTTAGTCATTCTTTTAACAAATTTTAAAAGTTTCATTTGTAGCTTCCGTTTGATAAGGAGCTAATATCAGAAATAGAGTAAAGTCTTACAATAGGAAAGATCCACTAATGCAGCTGGTGCCTCGTAGACTGGGCTGCTGTGACTTGTGGAATCATCTTTGTATTAATGTAAGCCTTGATGGGTGATGTTAGCTGTATGGATGTGTAATCTTCACATTACAGACATTTTACAACCCTTTTGTGACCTTGTTACAAATATTTAAAATTGTGTTCAAGTTCTGCTTTGCTGTTTAATAAAAAGCTGTTTCAGAGGTTGTGTGTGTTTTGATACACTTGCTATGTACATGTGCATTGGGAACTACATTGTAATAGTGTATCTTAGTTAAGCACCCAAGACTGCTACAGCGGTAACCTTTTAGTAACACAGTATGGTAGAAGCTTACCCTTCTATTAAAGTTCTAGGGAGGGGCTGGGTTCCCAGACTAGAGGGCTCTGCTGCATAGATTGTTGTGTCATTTTTAGCCATGGCTTCTGCATCACCAATTACATTATTCCATTTGCAGGAAGAGTGTGAGAGTGCACTGAATCTAGGTAGTAAGGGTTCTGTCTTGACATGCTCTAGGACTCTCTCCATCCAAAGCCTTGGATTGGCTGAGCAGTGTGGTTTCTTCCTTGTGGAAAGAAGTGAAGGACTTGTCATAGCAGCCCCAGCCACAGCTGATCTCTTGCTACAGAGTATCTGGAACTACTTTTCCTCACAGAGAAAACATTCCAGCACACAAAGCCCCCCCCCCCCCCCCCCAGCTAATGATTGAACTAAAAAATCCAAGATCTCCCTTGAGGTCCCTCAGCCTCTCTGTTCTCACTCTTTCCCTGGTCTAGAGTTATGGGACGAGATAGCCAAGTAAAAAGCTCTCAGTCTGGAAGGTGGAATAGAGATAATACTCAGATCTAAGGCAGTCGTGAAGTGCTACTTGCAGACAAGCCCCTTGATGTAGGCCCTGCCTCTTATCAAGGTTTCCCTCTCATTAGCTCCTGTGGTGTCCCCCTTCGAAGTTATTCCATACCCACCCCACCTCCACCCCTCAGGCTGAGAAAACAGTCCACTTGTTGGCAAGAGCTTGGTGCCCATTATTTTAAGTCAAGCTCAATTTTCTTTGTTTTTGCTAGTATAACTCTCAAAAAACTGAAACTTTTTACCTAGTTTACACCTATTCCATCTGTTTGCTTGTATGCACTGAGGTTAGAGGACAACCTGTCAGAGTCTGTCCTCTCTTCCCCATGAGTTCTGAGGACCAAGCTCATGTAGTCAGGTTGACTCTAACCTGAGCCATCTTGCTTTGAAGCCTTTTATCTTTGTACCCTTAATCTCTGTCAGGGACAGTCAAACTTTTTTCTAGCCCTGACTCAAACTTTTTTCTCTAAGACTTGACTCTATAACAGAGGAGACTTCCTTAGGACTAACTGAAATGCAGGTGGGAGAGCTGGCCCTGGGGGCTGCAGAGCTGGAGGGCTAGCCTTGCCCTTCACTGGTTGCAGCACTTTGAGAGAGTGGGCTCTGCAGTAAAACTGTCCCTGCTGGAGTGGTTGTGGGTGAGCCGACCTCCTGGGGCATGAGAGCAGAAGAGCTGGCTTTGCTCCTTGCTGACTGTGGCATTGGGTGAGCCAGGGCACTGCTGGAGAGCTGGCCCTGGTGGTTTGGGTGTTGGAGAACTGGTAGTCTGACCAGCTCAGCTACAACCCAGGCCCAAATCTAGGCTTTTTAAAAAGTTGGCCCACCCCAACATCTACATCATCTGTGAACTTCGAGAGCTTGTTAAGAGACTTGTCCTGCAGGCCCAAAGCTGTGGGATATCTGTGACACAGGGCAAAGAGAGGATATCCAAGAGGAGCCCCAGTGAGGATCCAGTATTGATATGTAGCAGGCCTCAAACCAGAACATGTAACGAAGTGTGGACAAGAGAGTGTGCTGCGGGACACAGTCTCTCACACTATAGCTTCCGTAGCAAGATTTTTTTTTTCTTATGAGGCAGGGTGGGAGGCAGGTTACAAGGGCAGAGGGCAGGTATGAAGGGATGGGGAGATGACTAGGATTGGGGGGGGTACAAAATGTAAGATTCAGAAAGAATCAAAAAGTTAAAAAAATGAAAAAAAGATGAAAACTCTGCGCTCCATCTCCAGCACCATGTCTGACTGGATGCTGCCACGCTTCTTGGCATGATGATAATGGACTAAACTTCTGAACTGTAAGCCCTTCATGGTGTCTCTTCAGAGAACACTGAGACACTTAGCTTCACCTTGACCTCTAGAACTGTGGAAATTCATTTACTGTTTAGAAGTCACCTACATTGTAGTATTTTGATAGCAGTCAGACAGATGGTGGCTCCTCCCCACAGGGTCCCAAAGAAGAGCTTCCTTCAATACCGACTCTTGGAGCTTCTCACTGCTGACCACACTCCCGCTGCACACCACAGTCCTTTATTTGGAACTTAGAGAGCCAGATGCTCCAGAACTCGGCATTTTCCAGATTTTATAAAATGTTATGATTTATTGGCAACTTGTTTTTGCATGAGAATCCATAAAAATTAGTGGTGAATGGGATAAAGTGAGTGTACAATGCATTTAAAAGTCTACCTTGGAGGTCAGGTTGGGCTACTGAGTCAGTTTTGGTGTCACGGTTGTGAGTTTATTTGAACAGAGATAGATTTTCCTTTCTTGAACTATACAAAGCAACTCTTGTTGTAAAAGTCACTTAAGCATCTACTTCCAGTCAAGTTGTAAGCCTCGCCCTTACTCCTGGCCAGCCCTTTCCCCTTTAATAGGTAGTCCTTTTCATAGGATGCAAGTGAGAATACAACTTTAGAACCTAAGGTTAATTTTATGGTCAAAAGCAAAGAAAAGTTGGGTGTTAATTCTTTAGCCTGTAAAGCTTAACTGTTGGATAATGCTTTCTTCAGCCTTGAGTTAATCCTCATTCCTGATTGTTGCTAGAAATGTCTTCAGTGCTGTCATATCCAAGATGACCACCAACAGGTATCAAAGGTTGGTTTCATTTTTAAGATTGCTTGTCAAGTGAGACTGTTACATGGACAACTGTGAATGATGCTATTGCCTTTTAGCTACTTCTTCCATTAAACTACAGTCAACCCCACTGAAACCAGAAATTAATGAAATGTAAATGACAAATTCAGTATAACAAAGACTTATGTCATTCCATCACAGTGTCTCTATGTAGTCCTGGAACTCATTGTGTAGACCAGGCTGGCTGTAAACACAGGAAGATCCACCTGCCTCTACCTCCCAAGTGCTGGGATTAAAAGTGTGTACTGCTATGCTCAGCCCAGAGTTTATCTGTCTTGACAGAGCTGAAGTCATGCATGGTAATCAGTTATATGATGTATTTTTCTTATTTTAAGGTTTACAGAAGACTTATCAAGTGTCTGTTATTAATACTTGAAGATACCCCTAAGATAACAAAGAGTGCAGACTGCATTCATTTAACAAATACCTACCAAATGTGTAAGATATGGTGATGGGTGTGAAAAGATGGTTTTCTAGTTGTCCTGTGCCTACCTAAGACTATCCTTACTGTTCTGTGCACTGGGGTCTTCAGAGACACTAAATGTTTCCAAAGGCTGGAGAGAAGGCTCAGTGGCTAAGTTCATACCATTCTTGCAAAGTTCCCAGCACTTGAATGCGCAGATCACAACTTCCTGTAACCACAGCTCCAGGGGGTACAGGTACAGGCTACCCCATGTAGACATGCACATAACTAAAAAGTAAAAACAAAACAAAACAAACCCACCACCACAACAAAAAACCAATAAAACCTTTCAACGTTTCCAAGTTCATGTTCTCCCCATCAGCCTGCCTTATGTAACCTGTCAAGAGGCATCTGTGGTGCTCTGAATGAAAATGGTGGCCCCCATGGGCTCTTATATTTCAATACTTGGTCATCAGATAGTGGAGCTGTTTGGGAAGGATTAGGAGGTGTGGCCTTGTTGGAGAATGTGTGTCACTGGGGTGGGCCTTGAGGTTTCAAAATATTTGTGCCATTCCCAGTGTATTCTTTGCCTCCTACTTGAAGATCAAGACATAAGTTCTCAGCTGTTCCTGCTGCTGGAAGGACAATATAAACCCCATTTGTCTCCGTTTAAGGACCAGGCCTGGTTTCAAAAAAAGGCCCTAAAGCACCAGTTTCAGTAACAGATCCTAAGTCCCAGAAACTAAGTCATAAGATACCAGCTCCAGGGATAGACCATAAAATCCAGAACAAAATCATAAAAACCCCTCCCAAAGAAAAGCCTGTGGCTAACCACAAAAATGGGGAAATATCTCAGAATGGGCCATCTGTGCTGGACAGCCCTATTTCATCACATGGTTAAATGTTCATGACAGGAATGTAGACCACTGTCCACCTGTGACCCGCTGGCATCCACCAATGAAACTTCAGATGACCTAGTTCTTCTAGAGAGTTACCCTGGTTACCTATAAGAAGGCCTTCATCTGGGGTCACCATTTTAGAGAATGGTTGACCCCCTGGACACTGAATGTTTCTGCAGAATAAACACTCTTTGTTTTTGCATACTATCTGAGTCTTGGGTCTTCCTTCAGCAATTTTTGGACTCTTACACTGCCATACCTTTGCTCTGCCATTGTGGAGTGTAATTGGCTGAACTATAAACCCAATTAAATACTTTTATTTTAAATTACCTTTGTCATGGTGTCTTATCACAGCAGTAGAAAAAACTAAGGGCTTCATTTCCTAACCACCTCATAGGTGAATATAGACCTATGTGCTTTGAAAAGAAATGATTGATTATTGGAAATGTTTTCTGAAAATTATTTTATATAAAAGATTTAAGCAATTGTTTGAGTCACCCAATATTTCATCTTTACATCTTGCTAAAGGTAAAACATACAGCCAAAATCTAGAAGAGAATCATATAGGTAGGTGTCCAGAGTGTAAGTTATGTGTTAACTATTCTGAACAGTTTCTATTAAATACAAAATTAGTTTAAATGTGCATGCACACACACACACATCTCCTCAGTGGAGAACTTTGGAACTCAGATCTCTCCTTCTGTTTTACCCACTGAGCTTCCTTGGTCCGATGAAACCATTTGGAGAATTACAGATTTTATGGTACACTGAACCCATCACAGTGGTTCATCATTTTTTTTTAAAGATTTATTTTTTATATATGTGAGTACACTGTCGTTGTCCTCAGACACACCAGAGGAGAGCATTGGATCCCATTACAGATGGTTGTGAGCCAACATGTGGTTGCCGGGAATTGAACTCAGGACCTCTGGAAGAGCAGTCAGTGCTCTTAACCACTGAGCCATCTCTTCAGCCTCACAGTGGTTCATCTTATTCAAGCACTTCCTGTTGAGGTTTTGTCTTTTACTGTCTATTGTAATGCTAAGTATGGCCCCAAGACCTGAAGTCTGCCCCCAAGTTAATTCTGATTGGTGAATAAAGATGCCGGCAGCCAATAGCTGGGCAGAAGAGAAATAGTTGGGGTTGGGTTTTTGAGGGCTTGTGTGAGAGGAGAGGTGATAAGAGAGAAGGAGCCACCATGAAAAAAGAATGAGCAGGAGGGAGAGACAGTGAGCCGCCAAGGGGTAGGAGTAAAGGAACTGTGGGCTGGCCAATTAGAGCTAAGAACAGCCCAGATGGAGCACAGTAAATAGTGATGGTTTGGTGTGATGGGAAGGCAGATGCTAACATCATGGAGGGTAGGCTGTTGCCCTGCTGTTAAGCTGCCTAAGGCATATTAAGATATAAAGGCTGTGTGTATGTCTTTCCTCTGGGACCATGAATAGTCAAAGGCAGATAGAAACCCTGCAGTGGGATTTTAAATAATTATTTGCTTCAGCTTCTACCATGTATTCCTCCAAGCGCAGACTAACCAACGTTGACGTCATCCTAGAGAACGGCGATGGAAGTGAGCCTAGCTGAAGAGTATTTTCAAGGAAAAGAAGCAAAGATTGACAAGACAGCTTAGCCAATAAGAGCACAGGCTGGCTCTTGCAGAGGAGTCAAGTTCAGTTCCCGGAACCAACATGGAAGCTCATGACCAGTGCTCTCTTTGGGTCTCCATGGCTACCTGCACACTTGTGTACATACACAAATCCAGGCACATGAACATACAAGGAAAATAAATCTTTAGAAAATTACTTTAGTAAAAAGCAGAAAAAAAAACCAAGAAAGCAAAACACACATACATGTATACACATATATATTTTATATTTTATTAGGGAAAATGATAAATTCAAGTAATTATAAAAAATAAAATCAGATTAGGATAAAGAAAAAAGTCACTTGGCTACCAAAGCTCTTGTCAGTTGCATAGATGCCATGTGTTCCTCACAGGGCTTTAGTTTGGATTGACCTGTCCGTGACAGCACATCCACAAAGGGAAACACAACCAGGGATTTGTAGTGATGTTTGCACGGTTTCTCACGCTTGCCATCTCAGCACTGAGCAGCTGATACAGGAGGATTGCATCAAGTATGAGTGCAGCCTGGGCTACACAGGAGTTCCAAGCCAGCTTGAGCTTCAGGGTAAAACCTTGTATCGACAAAATAAACTATAAAGATAAAACTTGGCTGCTCAGATAGTACCACTGCAAGCTCCTGAAGTGTGATCAAATGTCCATGCAGAGTCAGTCTGCAACCAAGAGTTAAAACAGCTCTAACCGAGCTTCAGAAAATGTGCTCACACACAAGTCAGAGGTCAGGCTGATTTTTATCAAGGCAAGGAAGGGTTTATCTCTCTGAAGCATAGTTGTTTATTTTGAGATACATTTTTATTTATAATTATTTCAAATGGCTAGTTCAAAGGGAAAAAAGGAGCCCCTGAAAGCTATGTTAAGCCCTATGATTGCTAAGTAAATTCTAGTTATGGTTAGCTGTGTTAGAAATTCACCAGGAGTCTATAAACGTTAGTGCATGGCCACAGGGCAGCCACTCACTCCCCTTTTACATCACTCTGGAAGATGCAAACAACGTCATTGGCTCGGCCTAGCCTCTTTTACAGAGGTGAAACTAGGGTTTGTTTTCAGTGTGTGAGTTCTGAATGTGCCTATGTGAGGGAGTCAGAAGGTGAGGTGGGCGTGTCTACAAAATAAACCCCAAAGTTGCAAAGGTACTCAGTATTAAAGTCATACTCTGGTCTTCATGTGGACTTGAATGGCCTTTCATAGGGTGGACACCTGGTACTTAAGTGTAGAAAGTTCTTCAATAAAACCATTTTAAGTACAGCAATACTGCTGATAAGGTAGGTAGTGTGGGCACCCACTTCAGACGCAGCTGTGAGGGTGACCTTGTCAGCAGGAAGCATGATAAAAAGACACAGCTGCAGAATGGGTTATAGCCATTAGAATCCCACACTAATAAATGACGCCTGCCCAGTGATGATCCATACAGAGGGCATAATTTAAATGGGAAACATATTTAAATTTCATTTTCCAGAGCACTGTGTGCACACACCATCTGGTGAATGAGGTAAGCCACTTGGGCTCCAAGACCTTGAAAACAAGTGCACATTATTTGGTTTTGACAAGCCTGCTATCTTTAAGCTCTGCTTGTGCATTACCCGGCGATGGAGCGAGTTAACAATCACTCAGTTGACACATCTGCCAACAGCACCTCTTTAGTACAGTGTCACACAAGCCAGGGAAGTGTGGCTCACTCACACACTCTATAGTGCTGACAGTACTGAATGATCCCCCATGGACTCCATCACCTTCAGTCTGTACAACAGAGCACACCCATATCTCAGGATGAAAGTAACCTGCTTCTTCCTGCGTAGGCACTGGAGAGGAAAGCCCAATAGCAGGCGTTCCAATAGCATGGGAGCAAAAAGCACCTTATCTTTGCTCCATAAAACCGAAACAATCTTCCTTCCAACTGTTAAAACTGTAACTTCTAAGGAGACGAATCTCTTGGCTCTCATGTAATGTGCCACTTTTCTTTTATTCTAAATTCAAAGACCAGTTAACTTCAAAGTTACCCCCCCCCACCCCCCAAAAGAAAGAAAGAAGTGTCTGAAAGAGTAACATTGCTAGATACTTAGAAAGAGTTTGTGCAGATGTACAGAGTCACTGTCCTTCTGGGCACCCTAACTCTAGACGCCAGGCTCTCTCTCCGGGACTGGCGACACTTGATGTGCTTCAGTCCTTGCGTACCCTCCTCTTGCGTAATGACTTCACTGGTGCGTCTCCGGACCCTGTGCTTTCATCAGCGTCCTTCATCTGGAAAACAATGAATGATGGGAGTGTTTCCTTTCACGTAATCTACCTAGTCAACAACAGCAGGCTTATTCCACATTCTTTAAACCATGTGCTGTGTGATGCGGGCTCCTGAATTCACAAAGATGCCTTGGGGTTTGTTTGTTTACACTGGCCTGATGTCACGTCCCAAATAACCCTGTTTATCAAGTAAGCACGTGACAAAGAACACTGCTGCTCGACCCTGCAGCATTATTTATGACTCAGAACATGGCCTTAATCTCACAGGAAGTAGCCATGTCCATTTCCAATGATAAAGAGACTTCATCACAGGGTTTCCCTGAGTAATGAATCCTGAGCTGGTTTTACAGAGACCATTACAGAACTTCTGGAATGAAAGTTTCCAGAGAAACGAGAAGTGAGGTAAAAAGGAACATGCTGACAGTTTTCCCCTCTTTACTTCTAGGATGTGTTGTACCTCGAAGCAAACTTTAAGAACAAAATGCATGCATGAAGACATTATGTACCTAACATCATTCACAATGTGACATTCACACCAATTTCACAAAATGATGCTATTCAAAAATAACTTACCTTATTGACAAATATACCCAAGAAAACAGAATGGCTAGAGGGTATATGGAGGCAACAGTCTGGCCGAAACTCTGTTTCCACAGGAGGACTACAGTTTACAGACTCAGCCATCTCTGTCCACTGCTACCGACAGAGCTACGGTCATTTTTACCAGTGCAGTCTACCTTTACATAGTGAGGAGCACAGGTGACATGCTCCTCCATCAGGTGTCCAGGTAACAACGTCTCAGCGTTTTTCTGCCGTCTCTTACTCTAGGAGACAGGGAAAAAGCTTGCTCCTGTGTGGAGGGAGGGCTTACCTCATCCTCTGATCCAGATTTACTCATCTTGCTCACTTCCTCTTGCCCTTCTATGGTTTCTCCATCTTCCTCACTCTTCTCTTCTGGTTCACCAATTACTTCTTCTGGAATACAGATTTCATTAAAGGCAGAGACCCCATGAGCTAGGATTTTGCTACTGAAAAGTATTAAGAATTAAGGGGGATTTATTTAAATTCTAAAATTAAAAAGCTATTTCAATTCTTCAAAACTGAAAAGAAAAAATGAGCTAATTGTAAATACTCATTACTTTACATTTATAAATAAATCAAATGAAGCAAAGAGTGAGTTCTGAAAATTATGATGATGTAATACAGACAACCCAAATGCTTTTCTGGTGGTCACGTCTTAGTGACAGACACCCCTTCACTTAGGTGACCTTTGTGCTCTTCAGCTGGCCATCGATTTATCTTGGAGCCTGTGGGCGTTACCTCTACCTTTTTCAGTTACTGATTCTCTTATAGACTCTGTTTAGCCAAATCTTGAGCTTTGTCACTGTCTTTATGGAAAGACAGGGAGGAGGTGGGGAGGGAGGGGGAGGAGGAAAAAGAGGAAAAGAGGGAGGAGGTAAGGACAGAGAGGAGCAGGCCTAAGAAGAGGAGGAAGAAGAAGGGGAGAAGGAGGAGGAAGAAGGAGAGGAAGAGGAAGATTCCATCACAAAAAAGAACATGTCCTGAGAATTATAAAAAGTAAAAACTTACTTTGCCAAAACTTAGGTTTGAGGAAACGGAAGCCAGCATATGCCACCTCTGCTTTCCTCATGCTTGCGCATGCACAGTGCAAGACAGTGCAGAAGGGCAAAGTTGCCTTCTAAAACAAGGCCCCTTTGATATTTTAGTATTCCCAAATTAGTTATTTGTGAATGCTCTCTAAAGTAAACAGAAACATTAATATAACGTACTAATAAGTTACAAAGACTCTGAGAACTTATAAAGAATTTACACATACACACACACACACACACACACACACACACACACACACACCCTGTTCTTTTCAAAGAACTTAGTCTTCTTAGTCTTGTGCTTTGTCCTCTGACTTCCTCAGGTGTTCCATGACATATACATGTGCACACATGCATGCTGGCTTTGAGTCACCCATGCACCTGTAAGGAACCCACCCACTGGTTCATCAAGCTAGACTTTTGTGGAACTGTTTGGACTGAGGTGCCCCATGGGGTGAGGGTGTGCCTGGTCACACAACTGTACACACACTGCAGCTCACCCATGCTCTCAGAAGCACAGGAGGCTGAACCATAAGGACAAGCAGGGTAGACAGGGTGACTACTCAAAGGGCTGTCACTCTCAGAGGATTGCTAATCATGTTCCCAAAGTCACATGCTCTTGGCAATTCCTGTGCACATTAGACACAGAGCAGGGCGGACAGTTCTGTCACTGCTGTCAGGACAGGGCAGGTGCCACAAGTTACCAGCACAGTCTTACCCTTTTCCACGATGATGACTTCAGCTTCACTTGGCTTCTTCTCCTCTTGCAAATCTTCTGGCTTCTCCGGGGCCTTCTCCTCCTCTGCCTCTTGCTCCAGGATGGCCTTGCTTTGCAGCTTGCATAAGTCAGTTTTTTCAGGCCCCTTGTCTTCATATTTTTTCTGTGGTAGTTTAACAAAAGCTGTTTTTACTGAAGTCTAAGCCCTATTTTTATTTTATTTTATCTTTCTTTTTTTAGTGCACAGACACTAATGATTGAAATGGACAGTGCATGTCCTCTCCATCAGAGCATTTATCTACCTGGTTTTTGTTTGTTTGTTGCACTAACTGATGAGGTACATAACAAACTCAGTAAATCTCAGGAAACTGAAGTCATTACATTTGCACTGAATTCATTACACTGCTTGATCCAGACAACTCTGGAACACAAGCAAATCTGAAAAAAACAAAGTTGAAAAAAAAAAGATGTGTTTTCTTTACCTTCACTTTTCTTGGCCAACAAAATGAAGTAACTAATGCAATGGGTAACCCGACCATCACCAGGTACATGATCCAGAGCCAGGGTCGCTCCTCTGCAGCTGTCGTTAGCTGTCTGAAGACACCAGGCTGCCAGAGAAATCAGCACAGAGTCATTTCCACGGATTATGTACACTTTACACTACTGCCCAGTGAACACACACACACACACACACAATGAAAAAGACAACTCTGAGAATACGTTCTGTTAAAGAACTTCCTGATAAGCTCACTCAGGGACTATTGTGTTCTCTTTTTCTTTTTATATGAACAATTTCACAAGTGGCCCTTGTGTGTGAATTTTATTTTATTAAATAACACATATCTGAGGCCACAAGATATTTCACTCGTAACAATCAAGTATCTAAAGAAACCAACTGAGTGTGGGTGAATGGCTCAGCAGATTCAAGTGCTGACACCCTCATAAAATGGAGGATGCAATGGCCTGTGTCTGTAATCCCAGCACCCCGGGGTGGGGGTGAGAAGGGAAGTGGCGCCAGCAGGCTCACAAGGCCAGCCAGCCCACAGCAGTGGAAATAAACACAGAAATGTTGGATTAGATTTCTTGGTACTTCTCCAAGTAAAAATAGTTGGAATGCATATAGATTACTGTTATAACTCAGCCTTGCACTGCCAACATGAAAACACAAAGCCGTCTTTTTTAAGGCTAAAAGCTACAATTGGACTTTGAATCTCATGAGGACTACTATAATTTAAATTCACCATGTGGTCTACATTCTGTCTATAAAATGTATTCAAGTCCATTTCCTTGGCATTTAGCAGTTACTGCATCTGTGTCACCCATGGCCAGGAGTGGGCTCCATGAGGCCCCACAGCTACATGACTTGTCTGTGGTCACTGTCACACCTCATTAGCATTTGCCACCGCTATCTTCAGCTCCCAGCCATCTGTCGCCCACTGATCTGCCACCTCCTTTTCTGAACAGATGATAAAATTATCAAAGTATATGTCGGGAGTCATGGACCAAAGCTCTAAGCCCAGAGCACTGAAAGAAGTCAGAAGGAACGGGTGGTCATCTTCAAAATAATCCGGGTTAGGGATTTTCTGGGGACTCCAGATTCCCTGGAAGAAATAACAAGTGAAGAAACTTTTAAATAAAGTGATGTCATTAGACAAATACAAAGGGACAGAAGCAGTCTTTTTAAGGGACAGGAAAATGGCTCAGGCGGTAACACGTGTGCCCCTGTGTGAAGGTACAGGAGCTGAGTTTAGTCTCTAGCACTGTTTAAAAAGCTGGTGCTGTCAGACAGTGGCTGTAATCCCAGTCCTGAGGAGATGGAGACAGGGCGTCCCTAGAATTTGTTGGCCCATTAGTCTCCTTGAGTCAGAAAGATCCAGGCTTAATGAGAGACAGTGTCTCAAAAACAGTAAGATGAAGGGCAGTCGCACATATCTGCACATGCATGCCCACCCACCTTGTGAGAAGTGAATGAGATGAAGAAAAACTGCAGTGAAGAATTAGAATAACCAAGTGTGTGTGTGTGTGTGTAATACCATCGTTCTATGTTTGTATCTCTATCTATCTGTCTCTACCTATCTACCTGTCTACCTGTCTGTCTATCTATCTATCTATCTATCTATCTATCTATCTATCTATCTATCTATCTATCATCTATTTATGAGAAAGAGAGAGACAGAGATGGTTTCTCTATATAGCCCTGGCTGTCCTAGAACTTGTTCTGTATACCAGGCTGGACTTGAACTCACAGAAGATCCTCCTAACTCTACCTCTTGAGTACTGGGATTAAAAGTGTGTGCAACCATACCCAACAAAAGATGCTACATTATTTTTTTATTGATACTTTATTTTAAAAGACTATTACTGTTTTTGTTTTACCCTAGGAGTCTGTGCTATCTTGTCTCTGGTTCTAGGTCACCCAAGCAGTGTTGGATATGAGTTCCTTCCCATGGAGTGGGCCATAAGTCAAATCAGACACTGGTTGGCCACTCTCACCAAGTTCTTGCCACAATGCCCCTAGCATATCTCACAGGGAGGACAGACTGTAGGTTGAAGCTTTGTGGCTGGGCTGGTGTCTGTGTTTCTTTCTCTCTCAATAGCTTGGCTGGGCTGGTGCCTGTGTCTCTCTCAATAGCTTGGCTGGGCTGGTGTCTGTGTTTCTCTCTCAGTAGCTTGGCTGGGCTGGAGTCCGTGTCTCTCTCAATAGCTTACAGACAAGACAGACTGTAGGTTGAAGGTTTGGTGGCTGGGCTGGTGTCCATGCTTCTCTCTCAGTAGCCTGCAGAGGGCCTTCCTGCACCACGACTGGAATGCGGGATGAGGGCTCCACGTAGGCAACAGGCAACCTCTCCATGGTCGGGGTACAATTCTCTTGCCCCTACTCCCCCAACCTCCTCAGATTTCAGAGAGCAGCCCTTCGTTTCAGCAACAGCCTGAGTTGTTTAGGTATTTTCATGGGATTCCCTTAGCCAACAACTCAAGTGAATGTGCCCTGCTCTCGCCACTGGAGGCCTCGCCTGGCTACGAGGGATGACTGGTTGGGACTCTGTATTCCCCATTACCTGGAGTCCTCACTAGGATCATCTTCATAGATTCCAGGAAGTTTCCACTGAACGAGGTTCCTATACCACCACCAAATACCCCACCCTCCCTCCCAGCCATCTCTCCCTTCATTGTCTGTCTCTACCCCATCACTCCCCATCTGATTCCCCAGCTCCTGTCCCCACACCCCCAGTCCACCCATAAAATCTATTCTATCTTCCCCTCCTAGGGAGACCCATGTAGCCTCCACCCCAGACCCCCCCCTCTTTCCTAACCTAAATTAGTTGACTTTCTTTAACTTCATAAAATTACAAATGAAACTTCTAAGAGCTGCAGACTCTGGTGAGGATCAGAAAAAACAATCCAGCCTTACTACAGAACGGGGACATTGCTGTCACCTGGTAGTTAGGATTATTGATCATGGGTGGTTTCCAGATTCCTTTGTATTTTGGGTTATCTATCATGGGAGGTTTCCATTCTCCACATCCGATCTGACAGGCTGGATTCGGAATGTGTGGCGCCTCCCACTCTCCGTCCATGTCTTCACTCCTGAAATGATCAGAGCACAGGTATTGCACTAATTCCAAGTCTTTGGAGGAAGCAATAAAAATTAGTAAACAATCAAGATACACTTGGCTCCGTGTGTGGAATTGAAGAACGCTTACCAATCCTCAGGTTTCTCAGCTTTAGGATTGGGGATAAACTTTGGTTCATCATCAAGCCAGCCATCTGGTTTAACAGCACTTGAGTCTTCTATTTGGGCAGGTTCATTTTCATCCCTGTGTATACACCATTACAATAATGTAGTTAAGATTTTAAAAAGTTCTTAAATATGCATATCAAAATGTCCAGAAGGTACCATGGCAGTATGTTCTACTATTTGGTTTATGTGCCTACTAAGGGTATTTTACACGCCAACACACACACACACACACACACACACCATTCCCTACACACAGACACACACACACAGACACACACACACAGACACACACACCATTCCCTACACACACACACACACACACACACACACACACACACACACACCATTCCCTTGTCGAATGTGGTCTCATGTTCCATGCACATATTGCACATATTTTCTTACATAAATGGTAACACTGCATACTTGGCATGTTCAATTTTGCCTTTGCCACTCAAATTCAGTCAAAAACTGTGCACCGGACGCTTTGTGATATGGTTTGCTTTCTGTTGAAGGCTCAGTTCCCAGTGAGGTGAGTTTAGAGGTTAGGTGACTGTGAATCATGAGGGTTTGGATTCACAAATTAATCTATTTTCTGACCCCTAGATTAATGGATTTCAAGCAGGAGATTTTGTTACAAAGTGATCTTCTCTGCTCCCCGATGCCACAGTGTGGGCAGCTCTGCTTCACAACATGCCCCTTTCCAAGGTGTCCTGACGACACACCCACCAACATGGAGCCTGTACCTCTGGATAAAATGGCTGACACTTCTGCCTCCTGTGTTGACTCCTGAGTGTTTTCTGTCACAGTGAAGCCAATCTAACCTAGACACTTTGCACCAAGGAGTTTCCACAACCACCTCCTACTGTGTGCTTTAGAAGCCTTTGGAACATGTCTGTGTGGGGGAATGGCTTGGGACAGTCTCAGTGTAGACTCAATGTAGAAAGAGCTTGCAGGGCCAGAACCAAGAGCTCCGTGGGCAATCCTGTGCATAGCTCAGGTGAGACAGGAGGTGTGGAGAGGAATGTAGAGAGTAGAGTTAGCCCAGATACCCAGGAGTAAGGTGTCTCCATCCAAGCTGGGTGCACATAGCAGTTCGAGTGCACAGCCGAGCCACTCCTGTGTCTCTGGGCAGCTTAGTTATTTTACATTAAGAAATCAGCCCTTTGTTGGCTATGTACTGTAAAAATATAAGCTTTCCACTTTCTCCTTTTCAGGTTTTTGTTTTTTTTTAAATCATGTTTATTTATTTCTCTGTATGTGTCTGTGTGTGCACACACAAGAGCACAGACATGTATGCACGTCTGTGTGATTGTACACTTATGCCACAGCACACAGGAGGTCAGAGGACAACTTGCAGAAGCTGGTTCTCTCTTCCATGTGGGCTCCAGGGGTGGCACCTTTACCTAATGAGCCATCTCACCAGCCCTCATGTATTTTAAATTAAATGTTTCTGGTCTTTCCTTTCCTCCTTCCCTTTCCTTCCCTTCCCTTCCCTTCCCTTCCCTTCCCTTCCCTTCCCTTCCCTCCCCTCCCCTCCCCTCCCC